CGGCCCGCATCGATCTCAGTTGGGTGTGACAACGGTGAGGTCATATCGTCGGATCGCCGGCAGCAAAGACGGTCGCCGACAGCGGCGGTCAGTGCTTTCTTTCTCCCACCGCAGCACCACTCCACGGACGCCGTCGCCCGCCTCCTCCCCACCGACACAACGAGGAGACAACAGCAGGAGATGTAACACCCGCAAAGATCAGGCTGCCGCAGAGTCTCGTTGCAGCCGCCATGACCAGACGAGTGGGATGCAAACAAAAAAGGAAAACAATTGCCCCCTCAAGCATCTCAGCACAACGTGGAAGCACAGCAGCCGGCACACAAGGCGCAACGCCGTTCAGTGGCTACCAGCACTCACCCTCAGTTACGCGGCAACGTGGAAATGAACGAGCTCCTCCCACACAGCCATCCTGCAACACGAGTGGGTCACACGAGCAGTCGCACAAATTAGCACCTCGCCACGCAAACCAGCAATCAAAGACACCGCCGGCGAAGGAAGCGATGGATGGCTGTGGCGCGCAGCCGCAATAATAAAACATGTGTCACCTTGCTTGGGGCATAAGGAAGACGTCCAATCAAAGAGGCACACCGATTCGCACCAGAGGGAGGTAAGAGCAAACAGAAGCAAATATTCGCCTAGGGCGATTGACCGGATCGTAAAGTTATTTACGAAAATCAAGCAATACAAGAGGAAGAAGGGGTAAGTGAAAAAGCAGTGGACTCACCACACCCTCAAGCTTTGCCCAAGTAATTATATATACACATATGTATTCCGATAGCCACTCTCGTGACATGCTGCACCCTATTCGGATTGGATACATACATATATATATTAATAATAATTTACGAAGTGTCAAACTTTGGGGCTCTCCAGCCACAAGACCCCACCGCAATGTGGGAATCAAAAGGGAGTGGGTGAGATGGCAAAATTGAATTTACGAAATTATCTGGCGGCTATCGGTTCCCTAATCCCCTACAGCCGTGGTCATACCAAAAATCATACGGTAGAAAAGTGTCGTAAAAAAGTGTATTCGTTTTACCAGGATACATATTAATTTAAATAGCCAGCCTTCCCCGCGATTATTCCATCCACAAGCTCCTAGAAAACAACAGCGGAAGTCCATAGAACCATCACAATACTGAATGTGGGAAGCGGGGTTGCCACGGGAGAGTGGGAACGTCATGCAGTACACTCGGCGATGCAGTCACAAGGCAGGTGCTTACACCACCACGGCCACCAGCACCCCACGAGCCCAGCATGGGGTGGCAGAGGATGCCACTGCAGCCAGCGGCGAGCACCGCAGTGTCCCTCACGGCTACCTGAAGACAAATGTCCCGGTGACGCGTGTGCCGGCGGGGAGACTGACGACGGTGCGGCACGGGTCATCCGCATGGGAATCGTCCAGCAGCTCGTTGCTGTACACAGGCGGAACACCCGGCGCGTTCGCGATGGTGATGTGTGGATGAACATTTTCGCAGGGGAACTCTCCCTCGTTGCGCACCGCGATCGCCGTCCCCTTCGGATCAGACGCAACGCTCGTCAGCGTGAGCTCAATGGACTCGCCCAGCACCCCCACCAGCTGCTGCAGCAGGACAGGGTCCTTGCAGGCGTCACGACCCAGGTACAGCGTCGTCACATGGAAGGCCTTCTGCACCTTCTTGCCGTCCAGCATCTCTGGCGGCACAAGCTCGAGAACCCTCTCGGGTGACGCAATCTGAATTGCAGCATACTCCACGTGGCGGGGGAAACGGCACAGAAAAGACTCGCAGGCGTTCGCCACGCCCAATGCTGCCGCCATGTCGAGTGTCTGAATTTCGGGTATGTCCGTCAAACCACGTGCGGAAAGTTCAGCCCAAACGCGCCGTGCAATGGTGGCAGTGTCGTCTGCCACGCTTACCTCAATGAGCGGCCCCTCGGTTGGTGGACGGCACCGCGTCGCA